ATGAAGGGCACCGACGTTGCAATGTTGTGTTTAGTCACACGGAACAAACAAAAGCATAAAGCGAAAGGCCCAAACCTGGTCAAAGACGAAGCTACCCGGGCCTAAGAAGCTCATCCAATATTTTGATTTCGTGCTTCGGAAACCTCTTCAGCTGAGCACCCTCACAGCTCGCACAATGCGCTCCATTCTGATTTTCACCCACGTTCTGGCGGAACGTGGGTGAGCCTCCATACACGGTATGTCGTGAATCAGAAAACGTCTGTACGTGGGTCACTGAGTATCACGTGGTACACACACGTAAAGTACCCACGGATTACGTGGGACTAAACCTCCCTACTACATGCAAGAGTGCATAAACAGTTTATGCTGGGGGCCGGGGATGGACTCTTGCTACATGTAGCTGGGAGGAGGTCAAATCACCATACGGTCGTTTTCGTCGTTTCTCGCCTGCTAAAACCATGAGCATACCGGGTACTGCACTTTACTTGTGCGCCAAACATTGTATTGACGTGACCAATATCTTCAACTTTGATTCGGGTAGGCCCTCTCCTTTGGGCAGTGGCAAACTCGTTACTCCTTTTCGGCAACCGAGAGAAAGCAACAAAAGCAAAACAGAAACATACATGGACAAAAAATAATAATGATGAATTTTGCGATCCACGGATTCCGTGTGGCCGCCGGATGGCCGCCGGATCCGCGATCCGATACGGTTTATCATCCACGTGGCGGTCTACGCTACGGGACCGTAGTAGACTACGTAGATAGAACGCGATCGCGATCGTGCATGCAGATTTTATTGTGCATACGACCAGCGCATGCAGCATGCATGAGCTTGAGTGCACTGACTTCCAAAAAAGCGAAGAGGGCGCGGGCCGCGGGGTACGATGCAACGATGCGGGTTTTCCTGGAAAAGCTCCAACATCTGTACGATGTGACACGTCAACTAGGTGATAAAACGAAGCAGGCCCTTCCGAGCCAAGCATTCTCCCAACTCTCCCACAACAAGAACCTTTAGTTTTTCTCGATCTTCTCTTCCAAAATGTGTGACGACGACGTTGCCGCTCTTGTCGTAGACAATGGCTCCGGTATGTGCAAAGCCGGTTTCGCCGGTGATGACGCACCCCGCGCCGTCTTCCCCTCCATCGTCGGTCGTCCCCGCCACCAGGGTGTGATGGTCGGTATGGGCCAGAAGGACAGCTACGTCGGAGACGAGGCTCAGTCCAAGAGAGGTATCCTGACCCTCAAGTACCCCATTGAGCACGGTATCGTCACCAACTGGGATGATATGGAGAAGGTGAGGATTCTCGAATGTTTGATGATATTTTTGTCAGTACGAAAGTTTGCGGTATTTGTGGTGAGACCTGCCATTCTGGTGAAAGCGTGTTTTGATTCCCTGCTTGTGCATTCTGTCCCTGAATCAGTTATTTCATGTCTTGCAAATGCATCGTGAGCGAAGTAAATTCCTGCGTCGCCCATTTGGTGAAATCTAACCGTATCACTAACTGCAACTAATACTTGGCTTGCAAATTTGCGCATTGTACAAGTTCAGCCAATGCCCTGCTGTTGTGGTTTCCGCTCGTTCACTAACTCTTCCTGTTTCCATGTTCGTTCCTTGTCTGCAGATCTGGCATCACACTTTCTACAATGAGTTGCGTGTTGCCCCCGAGGAGCACCCCGTCCTCCTGACCGAGGCTCCCCTCAACCCCAAGGCTAACCGTGAGAAGATGACCCAGGTAAGCAACATTCCGGACTTAATGTTCTTCAGTACAATGGAGTTGTCTCATTTGTAATTTTTGTGTCGTCCGATGTCGTTCAACATTTTGCATTTACTTCATTATCGACGTCTTTCATTGTCCATTCCTATCTCAACTACATCAGCCATTCACGTAGATTTATTGGTGATCTCTTATTGCCATTCGGCTACATTCGATTTTGAAGCTGTGCATGAGTTCCTGAGCAGGTTTGTTTTGCCAGTAAAATCGCAAAATGTATCAAGCCTTTTGGTGCCATGTCTGATCATCTGTGTTGTCGTTTTTCTCATGTTGTTTAGATCATGTTCGAGACCTTCAACACCCCCGCCATGTACGTCGCCATCCAGGCTGTGCTCTCCCTGTACGCCTCTGGACGTACCACCGGTATCGTCTTGGACTCTGGTGATGGTGTGTCCCACACCGTCCCAATCTATGAGGGATACGCTCTGCCCCACGCCATCCTCCGTCTCGACTTGGCTGGCCGTGACTTGACCGACTACCTCATGAAGATCCTCACCGAGCGTGGTTACTCTTTCACCACCACTGCTGAGCGTGAAATCGTCCGTGACATCAAGGAGAAGCTCTGCTATGTTGCCCTCGACTTCGAGCAGGAGATGGCCACCTCCGCCCAGAGCTCCTCCCTGGAGAAGAGCTACGAGCTTCCCGACGGTCAGGTCATCACCATCGGCAACGAGCGATTCCGCTGCCCCGAGGCTCTCTTCCAGCCATCCTTCCTCGGTATGGAGCAGTCTGGAGTCCATGAGACCACCTACAACTCCATCATGAAGTGCGATGTCGACATCCGTAAGGACCTGTACGCTAACGTTGTCCTGTCCGGTGGTACCACCATGTACCCAGGTATTGCCGACCGTATGCAGAAGGAGATCACCAACCTTGCCCCACCAACCATGAAGATCAAGATCATTGCCCCACCAGAGCGCAAGTACTCCGTATGGATCGGAGGCTCCATCCTGTCTTCCCTCTCCACCTTCCAGCAGATGTGGATCTCCAAGCAGGAGTACGACGAGTCCGGCCCCAGCATTGTCCACCGCAAGTGCTTCTAAATTTTTATTTTTGATATTATTCACACCCCCTATTTCTGTTCTTATTCTCTTGTTGTTCGCTCCAGTTGATCTGGCTGTCCTTGTCCACCTTTGAGGGTATGAAAGATATCATTGAAAACCAACTTTCCTGTTCTTCCTCGGTTCTGGCCTGTCCCTGTGTGTGTGTGTATGGTTGTGCGAATGATTGCTGTTCTATGTTGGCCATGGGGTGGGGTTGTGGTTGTAGTTTGGCTATGGTTTGTGGGTGTGCATGACCAGAGCATGCTCTTTCATCTTACAATTTGATTCCTGAGTTCTGCATGGAATGTTACGTTATAATATAACGTTAGCTGGTGCATGGTTGTCGCAGTTCTCTGCGAAGAGGTTGAAAACATCACTTGAATGCCTTTCAAACTAGAATAATTGACTATTTTTGTATACGGTACTGCATGTGAGGGCCATCGCTCTGGACAAGCCTACATGGTGAAATCTGGCCGGCAATCCATGATCTGGCGTCACAGGTCATCAGTGCGCCGTGTTAATAATTACCTTGATAATGGAATTTGATCATAGGAGATAGGACAGAAGCGGAACGTATAATTATACCCACATAATTATATTATTACGCGTGCTGTGGTATTATTATTATTATTATACTGCATGAAAGATGTATTCCAAGCAGCACTTGAACTTAAACCATCCCACTGTGCCTGCCTGAGATTAACCGGAGGGGAAATTTCAAAGCTCGATCCTAACTCAAAAGTATTCTTTTGATTCCCGCCTCCAACTTCGATTTAGTGTATTATTTTTGTTTACAATTGTGATTGTTGTGTTACGCTGTAAGTCATGGAGGCCAAGAATGCACAGTCTGTGTACAGTAGAGTCGCGCGCTGAAGAACGTCCAGCCTGAAATGCTAAGACCCGCCACAGCCTAAAGTTAAGAAAGGCGGTATTGGTTTTCCGGCAGCTTATGGGATAATGATCCAGTACGAATTGTTTCTAAGAATGTGCTATAAGAACGCCCCAGGCTAACCCCATAGAAACAACGTTCTTGGACGCGCGACTCTACTGTACAACCCGCTAGCATTGTACTTTTAAAAACAAAGTATTGCGTGTAAAGACTATAAAATTAATTGTATAAATGTAGTGAATGTGCATGTTGGCATTGCATCTGCTATTATAAATTTATAATGCATGAACTGGTTCATGATGCAAATAGCCGTTTGGATACCACATGCAGTTTTCCTGTGCATATCTTCTCTTTCCTTATACTGCCTACATGTAGGCCGGCACAGGGCAGTGGGAACTATGGCAACGGAGGGTCAATGACGATGCCACTCGCAATACGGACCCTACAAAGGCAAGGACATACAGGAGCAGCAATGGCGGCGGCGCATTGAGTGCACACCAGCAAACGCAAGACAAGGTCAGCTTTAATACCGTATGTCCGCAGGGGAAGTATACCCTAAAATCAAATTTTCATTATTTGTTGTCGTCGGGGTGCTGCGTCGAACCAGTCTTAGTCTGAGGAAGCTAAGGGTGCGTTTGGTTGGTACGATCTAGAACAGGATCGAACAGCTGGTGCACATGGAGCAGCCTCATGCCAACCAAACGGTACTCCAGAAACAGAGCACATTTTTGTGGAAAAATGTGCCAAACTTGGTGCATTCTTCAAAATGTGTATGGGTCACCATGGTCACTTTGTACGGTACAACGAGTCCAACCCAAAAGCGTATGCACGTGATCATTTGGGACCAAAATCGATGTTCCCGCCAGGTTTCCCTGTGAAAAAGTGAAACTGCTCGGTCTGCCCCGGCCTGGAGGCCGGAGCAAGCAGAACATGTTCTGGCCGACCCAGAACAGGTGCAGTCCCAACCAAACGCGCTGTTCTGGTGAATCCTGTTCTAGTTCGTACCAACCAAACGCGCCCTAAGACGCTCCCTTCCTTTATTGCCAATCAAACTCGCGCACTTCCACCGAAACTGGGTGACTGCACCCTACTACTAGTAGATGGGGATTTGTACGCAAAAATCACTAAAAGCGCCATTTCGTTCTCATAAAAGCACGCATGACCGCGATTCGTCCATATGTTGTAGTCTTTTGGACGCTGAGTCGACTGGTTTTGGTCCGAAAAGGCTGCGATGCAGCGTTCGGCCCTTATTCCCAGTCGAACACGGGTGAGTTATAAAGCCATGGGCTGGCTTCATACTGGTAAATGAAATGACATTAGTTACCATGTAAATGTGTGCGCCTACAAAAGCATGCAGCTAGAAATTCAAACGCTGGCGGTGCACACCGGAGAATTTGTGCGGAGCACGAAAAGAAGTGTCTAAAGAACGGTCCGATATGCACCCCAGAACCTACCTATGTAACTGTATGAATGAGCACTACTTACTGAAGAAAGAAATGGTGAACTGCTAACAAGAATTATATTTAAAATTGCGTTGCACGGGCGAGCGGAGCGTCTGGGGGCGTACGCGTTGTCAAAAGGAGGGTGATAGCGATTGGAGGGTGTACTAGTATACCTAGCAGTAATCAAGGGTACAGGCTGCATGATGTCATAATAGACTGCATGATGTCATAATAGACTGCATGATGTCATAACAGACTGATAAGTGTAGCATGATGTCATAACAGACGTAAAAGTGTAGCATGATGTCATAACAGCCTGGCAAAGTTTAAAGCTCGAGAAAGCGCATTGTTAACATGGTTAAAGGACAATACAAAATGCAAGAATATCTAAATAAAAAAATCCTAAATAATTGAATAAAAAAAGCCTCGTTATAAGGGAGTTTGGAAGTGGGTTTACCTACTAGAATGTAATTTGGAAAAGTGCTGTCATCGCTTGCTCTTCAATCATAACTGGCAATCTGTGGCGTATGTATTGATCAATGATCAATGATCATCTCTGGTCTGCATTGCACTTACAGTCGTGATAGGTGACTGTAGCGTTAAAAATGCCTGGAATTCGGTGGCGTCCTGCATCGCTCACTCTATGCTAGGTTCTTACACACAAGTATACACTGCTCAAGCGTATCATATACACACTGTCCACCTGTCGAGAAGGCTCACTGCGACGCCTGCATTTGGACGCTCATTGATGCTAGCGGTGTTGTCTGTGTGCAGCCCCAACATCCACGCGACTCGTACTGCACATGAGTATTATGCTCTCTCTCTCTCTCTCTCTCTCTCTCTCTCTCTCTCTCTCTCTCTCTCTCTCTCTCTCTCTCTCTCTCTCTCTCTCTCTCTCTCTCTCTCTCTCTCTCTCTCTCTCTCTCTCTCCCACTCACACCCACACCCCACCCCCCACACCCACTCACTCTCACTCTCTCAGAGATGGGCCACATACTCTCCGTTGATTTCGCGCGGCATTGGGCTGTCCAGCGTGGGTGGTGGAGGTGGTATAGAGGAGGCCATGGACGTCGGGCTTCTAGGCTGCTCATCTATGGCCGTGATGCCAACGGGCACATTGCGATACGGGTCTAGCTGGTCATAGGCCGCTGGATTCATCACGACCATCTGCTGTGTGACGCCCTGTGGAAGGCAGACAAACCCTTCTGGTATGACGTTCGTGTTGACTAGATGATAGCCGGGGTTGATGAAGTCAGCCGAGCCGCCCGTGTATTGACTCTCGGTGGAGTACTGCACGGACTGGGCGCTGTACTGCTGAGAGCCGGCGTTGCACACGTACAGACGTCCCTCGCTGTCCTGCACGTATGTTATGCCGGTGGCTATGCTGCCTGTGATGTGAACATGCGTGCACATACGTGTGTGTGTGTATACGCATACAGGTGAACACACACATACACATGTTCATGCATATGTACACACACACACACGCACACACACACACACACACACACACACACACACACACACACACACACACACACACACACAGCAATGCGAAAAGAACACAGTGGAATACGTCAGTACATGTACACAAATGGAACCATTCATAAGTACTACTGAAGTAGGATACCCAGCAGGCATGTCCACTTTGATACTGTTCCTGCTTTTGTAGCCGTTCGCAGCTCACGACGGTTGAGAGATTCTACTTAACAGGATGTACAGTAAAACCTGTCAAGGCAACCACTCGGACGCGGCGACCACCTGTCTTAGAAGACCACTGCAACCAGGACCAAGGGATGCTATTTCCAGCCAAATGACCCTGGATAAGGAGATCACCTAATACACAGGGCCACTCACATGTCGCAGGTTCCCTTCAGCAGTCGGCTTACCCAGGTTTCACTTTAATTACAGTGAAACCTGTCTAAGACGACCGCTCAAGGGAACCTGCGACATGTGGTCTCAGTTAACAGGTGGTCTCCTTATCCAGGGTCATTTTACTGGAAATAGCATCCCTGGGTCCTGATTTAAGTGGTCTTCCAGGACAGGTGGTCGCCTTGACAGGCTTTACCAAGAGTAGATAAACAAGAGTGTGCAACTCCGGATCTCTCCTGCACAATCTGCAGATACCCCTGCCCGTGGCGGAATTTTTTGTTTACGTCACCTTTTTCCAGAAAAAAGGCGCATTTTGCCGCAGAGCAGTGTGAGAGCACGTGCTGGGCCCGACCAAGTGCACGAGACAAAACTTTCCAAAAGACTCGCAGCGCGTGTGTCGTAGAAAAGATTACGTCAACAAAAAAATTCAGCCGCAGGCCAACCCATCTGGGAGTTGCACACTCTTGTTTACCGTAAAGTCTTGTATAAAAGCCGCGGCTTCTATGACTTTCTTGGTGAAATTTTGCAGGCTTCTATATGAGACAGGCTTCTATACAAGACAGGTATTTCTATGTATGTCAACACTAAAACCAGGCTTATGTGTGATTTGATGGGCCCAAAATTGCGGCTTCTATTCGCGGGCGGCTTCTACTCAAGTGCGGCTTTTATCCAAGACTTTACGGTATCAACTCTTGGTTTTCCTGTAGATGTATTGGATGCTGTGCTCTCTCTCGGCGTACCTGCACCAGCATGGCTGTAGCCTGATACGGACATTGTCCTGTCCAGCGCTGAGCCGACCTCAGCCTTCGGGTTGATGTTCTGGTACTCCTGGTGTTCCAGTCCCATCTTGAGCGGCACGTTGGCGTAGAAACTGTCCTTGTAGTCGGTGAGCAAGCGTGTCAGCTCGTGGAAGGATGGCCGCTCGCTCGGCTCCTTCGACCAACATGTCGCCATCATTGCATAGCTGAAGTAGAAGAACCACAGCGAGAAAACAGTGTCGTGTGTTGTGTGGTGGCAGAGAGAGAGAGAGAGAGAGAGAGAGAGAGAGAGAGAGAGAGAGAGAGAGAGAGAGAGAGAGAGAGAGAGAGAGAGAGAGAGAGAGAGAGAGAGAGAGAGAGAGAGAGAGAGAGAGAGAGAGAGAGAGAGAGATAGGTAGGTACATGACAGAGAAAAGGAGAGAGAGAGAGAGAGAGAGAGAGAGAGAGAGAAGAGAGAGAGAGAGAGAGAGAGAGAGAGAGAGAGAGAGAGAGAGAGAGAGAGAGAGATAGGTAGGTAGAGCAACAGACAGACAGACAGAGACCGAGAGACAGAGAGAGATAGAAAGAGTGTGCGTGTGTGAGTGAGTGTGTGTGTGTGTGTGTGTGTGTGTGAGAGAGAGAGAGAGAGAGAGAGAGAGAGAGAGAGAGAGAGAGAGAGAAAGAGAGAGAGAGAGAGGTCCTCTGATGAGACCTGATAGGGTCGCAGCAGCTACAGCTACACCCCCCCCCCCCCACACACACATACACGCAACCATACACACAACCATACATATACAGCCACAATAGAGATATTGCAGACATCACGTTCACACTCACAGGTCTTCAGGGCAAAGTGACGGTCTGCCGAGTCGTTTTCCGGACAGCAGGAATGTTGGCAACTCATCATTGGCCAGTCCAGGATAAGGAGACTGGCCTAAGTTGAACACTTCCCACATTACTATGCCGTAAGACCACTGCACACATGCATACATACAAACACACACTCACTCACTCACACACACACACACACACACACACACACACACACACACACACACACACACACACACACACACACACACACACACACACACACACACGTGCGTACATACACACCCATACATGCGGGCACACACACATGCAGGAACGCACATGCATGTGCACACACACACACATATACACACACATGCACACACGTGCGCATATCCACAAAGAAGAATCCAAACATACGTTAGTGTACATGTCAATGTGTGCATGCATGACTTTACATGCACAGACACGTGCACACACACACACACACACACACACACACACACACACACACACACACACACACACACACTTGCGCACATAGGCATACATACATATACACACGAGGAGACTTCACGAGCATCCTAGAGCGTCTGAGTAGAACAATAGAATGCGTGATCTAGAACATATCGCCGCTGAATACTCACCACATCCGACATTGTTGTATAGATCTGATCCTGCAGGCTCTCCAAGGACATCCACTTGACAGGTAAGCGACGTGCAGTGCCCATACGATAGTAGTTGTCCTCGTGAATGTCCCGTGCCAAGCCGAAATCACCGATCTTCACGATCAGCTGATCGTTGAGCCTAATTTATCACAGGGAGAAAATTCAAGACACGGAAACCCAGGATCATGTTATAAAGTAAGGACATTTTGCTAGAGCATACGTTTTGCTATTTTGTCAGACATTGAAATTGCTGCAACCTGCTCTGTGCATTGTTGTAGACAATACATGATCCGACGGAAGAGAGAGAGAGAGAGAGTCGCGAACGTTTTTCATCGTGAACTGGTGAAATTCTAAAAAAATGCAAAATCTCCATTCAGCGAAAATTTCTCGCTTTCCAGTGCGTATTAGGGAATCCTAGGCACATACGCATGGACAGTGTAGAGGATCAAGCACGTACACTCCGCTTCGGATTCCGGACTCGGGTTGACGTTACACATCACGGTAGATACACAATTCGCAAGCAGTGAAAACAGTGGTTGTGAGACTTATCCACTCACCCCCACCGTTAGGCGCTGCATCTGCCGCTAGGGTTTACCGGGTGTTAGCGGCCGTCGTGAGTTCCCTTCGGGAACGGACACGATAATTTACTTTTTTACTTATACACAATTAGCAAGCAGTGAAAACTGGGTCTGGGTTAGAGTTCCATGACGAGCTCGCGAAAACACGGCCGTGTGTTGAGAAGTGGACAAGTGTGTACATGTACTCCTGAAGAATGTGAGCGGGAATTTGAGCTTATCAGGCGGTCTGGCCTATGTGTGGAAGGACAGCAGGCCATGCATTAGAGAGGTTTCGCATAACGTAATTACGTTAGCAAAAAACGCAGTCGATCTACGGAAAGTCTTACGTAAACTGCATGCGGTTCTGTGTTACTCCATACGGAGTTTTCAAATCACGTAGCTGCCCTTGGCAACTCCGAACGCGGCAGTGTACGACCAGATCGACCTGGGGAGAGAGTCATAAATTTGTACCCCAATCCACTTATGGACCACCTACGTTATCAGAGCCCTATCTACGCACTCTACGTAGACAACTTTCCGTCAGTGGAGTGCAAACTCGCGAATTCACAGGTTTTTCCCGCCCACTAATCTAAAGTTGCTCAACTTTATGTAGTGTGGAACCTCTCTATTGCCAATCACTTTGGTGAACAAGTGGCTAAGTCACCGATCTCGCTAGGTTTCCCTGTGCATTATGATGCATATGCACTTACGCGTGCGCGCACACACGTACAGACAAATCACGCACGCACACTTACACACACCTTGGACCTTGGACCTTGGACGCCCATCGCGTAGCGATGATGGCTCAGACGCGGCAGTGGGGGGCGTGCCTCCTCAGGTCCCCAATGCGGCCAAAGGGACGGCCACATGCGCAACGGAACTCTTTCGGTCCGGGTGGAGGAGGCTGCTGACGACACAACCGCTTCCAGGTTGGGCGATCCTGGGCTTGATGGAACCATTCTCCCTCTCCGATCTGTGCCGCAGCTAGATCAGTGACAACAACGTCACGCCATCGCTTCTTCGGACCGTGGCGGGGGCGAGTGGCATATAACTCGCCAAATACCATCTGCTGCGGAGTGCGGTGTTCCTCCATACGGGCAATGTGCCCCAGCCAGCGCAGACGATGCTGTCGGAGCAAATCGGAGATGTCAAGAGACATGCCAAATCGCCTGCCCAATTCTGCCGATGTGAGCCTGTCCTCCCACTGCTGGATCCGCGATACACCGAGGATAGACCGAATACAGGAGCGATGGAAGACGGTCAGCCGATGGACGTGGGTAGCCTTCACAGCCCATGTCTCTGCACCGTAGAACAGAGTGCTCAGGACAAAAGCGCGATATACCGTGCACTTAATGTCGATGGAACTTTGCAACTTGTTGTTGGAGGAGGCAGTTTGCTCTTTTTGAGCTCTGTCTCAATGATGGATTAGCCACACTTGGCAGCCAAGTGCCGTATGGTGGAGACCAGGCCTTGGCTGCTGTGGCCCGTCCTGACAGCCTTGCGAGCTGTCGGGAGGTTTGTTGTACGCATTGCACTAGTCAGACGAAGTGGTTTGGGGAATTTGTAGTTTTTTGAATTTGAATGAATTATGGTCACAACGAGGAGGACGGGGAAGACGAAGGCGAAGGGGACACTGGTCACTGCGACATGGAACGTTCGGTCCTTGGTGGAGGACGCTGGTGATGCCAAAATATGCCGTAAAAATAAAAATGTCTCGGATACCGCCGTTGACAGGAAACTGGATTTTCTTGTGGAGGAACTCGGCAGGTTCGGCGTGGACGTTGCTGGTATTCAGGAGACGAAATGGTTTGGAAGCGACGTCTGGCCTGCTGGGAGCGGTACGTTGTTACACTCTGGGAGGCCTTTGCCTTTGGGGAGTGAGCCCGGCCGCCGGAACGAGGGAGTTGGAATTTTGATGAATTCCGCTGTGACCGGGATGTGGAAGAGCGGAGGGGAGCAGTGGAGCGCCGTCAGTTCGCGTATTGTCACTGCTCGTCTTCTTGTCGCCAAGCGAGGTGATAAACTCCCTGGTGGAGGTAAGCGACACGCAGATTTCTGTGTCTCTATCGTCAATGTTTATGCTCCAACGAGTAAAGCCCCACCGAACGTAAGACGCAAGTTTTTCGATGACTTGCAACGAGTTGTGGACAGTATCCCATCCAGAGATGTTCTTGTGCTCCTTGGGGATTTGAACGCGCGCGTCGGGTCCAGCACTGACTATGCAGACAGCGCTGTGAGTCGTATCGATGGCATGCCAGGGGATGAGCGGATGTGGGGTTGTGTCTTGGGCCAATTTGGCCTTGGAAATTGCAATCGGGCTGGTGAGGAGCTGTTGTCATTCTGTGCAGCTAATCAATTGTCAGTAATGAATACATGGTACAAGAAGGGACGAAGTAAGCGTGGAACATGGACTCATCCAGCCACTCGCCAAGTGCATCTCATTGATTATGTCATCATGCGTACAGCTCATTGCTGCTACTGTAAGGACGTTGGTGTTGTCCGCGGCGCACTGTGCTGGACTGACCACTACATGGTTCGGGCCAAGCTTGTCCTGGACTTCGTCCAACGTAGATCCACTGTCCCTAAGCGGAGGTCGTATGCCACCCATCGCCTGCGTGAGCCTGATACGTTACTGCAGTACCGAGAGTCAATGGAGGCAGCCTGTGGTGGCGCGGTCGGTGGTGGCCAGAGTGTTGAAGAGACCTGGAATTCCCTTCGTGATGACATCACCAGCGTAGCGGAGAGAACACTGGGCCATGGTCGGCGGCGGCAACCAGACTGGTTTCTGGAGACACACACACACACACACGCACACGCACACACACACACACACTCACTCACTCTCTCTCTCTCTCTCTCTCTCACACACACACACACACATACATACACACACACACACACACTCTCTCTCTCTCACACACACACATACACATGCTCACCATGTACTTACATGCAATTTCTAGTGGCGAGATCGCGGTGAACAAACTTCTTGCGTTCAAGATAGGCCATGCCTTGTGCTATGTGCAAGCAGAAGATTAGCAGCTGAGGTGTCTCCACCTGAACAACAACAACGACAACCACCACAACAACAACAACAACAACAGCAGCAGCAGCAACAACAACAACGACGATGACGATGACGACAACAACAACAACAACAACAACGACAACGATGACGACGACAACATCACCGGGAATATGCTATAGCATATAACATCAAAGGGAATTTTCCAAGGCACATCAAATCACAGTCTCACAGGGAACTTGCCAAGGCACATCAAATCGAACCAAAGTGCACGGCATTGGACAATGATGAAGTCGCTACTTCTAATGCACATTTGCCATCTGCAATGACACAATAAACTTACTGAAAAACTGTGCTCTTCGTCGTTGGATTCAACAATCTCTCCGGAGTCACCGATACCTCTAGACTTGCGCAAGTAGCCGCGTAGATCACCCATGCCCATGTATTCCAGACACACCTGTGATGGTTGAAAACAAAGAGAAAGAGAGAGAGAGAGAGAGAGAGAGAGAGAGAGAGAGAGAGAGAGAGAGAGAGAGAGGGAGGGAGGGAGGGAGGGAGGAGAGAGAGAGAGAGAGAGAGAGAGAGAGAGAGAGAGAGAGAGAGAGAGAGAGAGAGAGAGAGAGAGAGAGAGAGAGAGAGAGAGAGAGAGAGATAACCACATTGGGAAAGACTATATTGAGGATGATGGAAACACAACTGGACAAGACGAAATCAAGATGAAGACTGCTCATTACACAACTGTACACAAGCATGCACCGACACATGCACACATGACGTGCACAAAGTGACATACTAACGCACTTTTAATTTCACTCTCAACGTACCTTAGGCGGCTCACTGCCTTCAAGACAGATCCCAACCAATGCCACGACATTGGGATGCTGGAATCCCTTCATGAGCGATGCCTCAGCTAGAAATTCCTCGATGTCTTGGGGCCGTACGGCAGCTGTGAGGAGCAGATGAGGGTGGGAAATACAACACAATTGGATTTATTTTCCCAAGGTATGCAACTGTACAGCTGAGAGTGGAAAGTGAGAGGAAGGGTAGAAGGAAGGGAAATGAGTACGAGGATGGAGTGCTGCAGGCAATTTCACTTTGAAATCAAGATTAAACCCAGGTAGTGGATGAGTGAAGAGCGAGGGGCATTCGCTAGCTGTAAGTCTGACAGCAAAACCCTGGTCGTTTCAGGCTGCAAGATTTGGCTGCCTTTGAATATCAGTGTATATAGGATGCTGCCAATGACCATCGCGCCCACATGTACATGCAGTCCCGCCGGCACTGGTCCGGTTGGTCACGTTATCACCGGACCAGCTTTTTAGCAACCAGCACATGTTTACAACTGTGGAGATCATGCGTACCCGCCATATCACACACAAGCTGTTTGAAAGGCCATGATACTACCTGACCAACTAAAAACTGCTTCGGACATTCTTGTGCAGGAATGCTATGGAGGTCTGCAGGAATGCTATGGAGGTCTGCAGGAATGCTATGGAGGTCTGCAGGAATGCTATGGAGGTCTGCAGGAATGCTATGGAGGTCTGCAGGAATGCTATGGAGGTCTGCAGGAATGCTATGGAGGTCTGCAGGAATGCTATGGAGGTCTGCAGGAATGCTATGGAGGTCTGCTTACTTTTTACTGTCTTGATGGCAACCTGCAGAGGTCGCCTTTCTTCTTGTTTTCCATCATCCTTTGAGACCGCTTCCTCTTTCTTGCCTTCGCCGTCCTTGCCTGCCTTCTTTGGTACCGTCAGTACCTTGCCATCATAGACACGACCAAACGCACCTGTAGCACAGCGAAGAACACAGCACACAGCCAGTGCGGAGCAGGAGGTTTGGGCGCTTGCTTTACAGATGTATGCCTTGTATGGGGTAGTATATTGTGCTCCCCTTTCCTCTTGCCCATACCCCTGCCTTCACACACCCTGCTCTCTTCTCCAACACCCTGCCCCTCAGGCTCAAACCCCTGTCCCCTTCCCACAGCCCTGACCCTCACCCCAGTCCACCCCCTTCGCGCACAATCACCACCCTACACTCGTGTTTGACACGAATCGTACTCCAGCAATAAATTCCACAGGCATACTAATAGGAAGACAAATAGACAGGTGGATGGATACACAAACATATGGACAGACAGATTGACGGACATATGGACAGACAGACAAACAAACATACATACATACTTCCTCCGTTAACAAAAACTTCGTGATGGATTTTGATGGATATGAAAACGCTTAGAACAGGTCAAGAACAGTTTGTATCGACTGCAAATCACTGGACGAAGGTGATTCAGCCTATGTACAGCGTCTTTACAAGAGAAACTGTTAGCGGAATGAGCAGAGACTTCAGTTTGCGTCGCTTTCGCTCGATTCATGTTTGACCTGCGTCGCTTTCGCTCGATTCATTTTTGACCTGCGTCGCTGTCGTCATCTGCTGCACGCGAGTTGTCATCTGCTGTACGCGAGTCGTCATCTCTCTAGAGTCGTTGTTCAGCTCCTTTCAGCCTTGCCTCAGCTTCTTTGATCACACTCCGCTGACCTTGATGTCACCGTCGTTCAGGTAAGTTGGCTTTCAAGCTACATGATCCGCCGCGATGGCGATTACTCGTTTCCACCCGGGAGTCGTGAAAAATATTTTACGACCCCCTGGTTTCATCTTCGCTCTCCAGAACTCCGCGAAACGAGGAGTAAAGGCACAGTCAGACTGATTCTATTTTCTCTAATGGATACCACCACTGAACGGCAGCGGCTAGCAAGTCCAGTCGACTTTCTTTAGCCACGAGACTCGCATCGGACTGCAGACTTCTGAAAGAATGCATGGTCATCAGCATTCGAATCTGGACTTTGCGCAGGTTGAACAAGAACTTGAGTTCAGAATTGTTTTCATTGAGCCGTGCGATCGGAGCAGCTCCTTGTTCACTCGCTCATTGTGTGGGCTCGCTGCTCCGTTTTATCGCTCTCTATCACTCTCCAACTTACTCAGCGCTAAAGTGGTAGAGAGGCCAAGCAGCGCAATATCCCCTCGGAGAAGTGGTATTTCAGTTTCGCTCGCCATGACTGTCATCACCTATGTTTCCACAGCGCAACCATCGATTCCGCTCGGCTTGTTGTGAAAGGTCGCTTTCATTGCATTGTACCTCTGTCATGGCATGCCAGGGAAGGCCAAGAAAAGTGATTGCGACTTATTTCACGGCAGTTTGTGCCCAAATCAGCCCCTCAAAATTCCATCACGAAGTTTTTGTTAACGGAGGAAGTACATACAATCGAACAGACTAGCAGACAAAACCCGTATCTACAGGCCAGACCCTCACCTCGTCCGATTTCCTTGCCCAGCACGATATCACCCTCGCCCACCAGGTAGTCTTCTAAATGCGTGTACTCTCCACGCAGTCTCTCCATCAGTGTCGCTAGCTCCTCTGTGCAAGAAATCACAAAAAATCAGCACATTACACACATTACTTGCTACAGCTGAGCTTGCGGATACCGACCCTCACTCGGCCATTGGAATAGTGTTGTCATCCGTTGAGTTGTCGTTATCTGCCAGGTTAAAAGTAGACAGTCAAGTGGTTGTTCGGTCTTTTAAGATAGTGTCATTATTTTGTGAGTTATTGTTACATCCGATGTTGTTATTCACAAGGTTGCCGGTAGTTCTCAGCATTTTAGTGCAATAGCAATGAGCTGGTCATCATGCTAAGCTGCGCCGCTCACCCCAAGAGCACAGTAGAGATCAAGCTGGTGCACACCGACAGGGAGACGACAAGACAGGCGACTGTGATGCTAAAATGGGCGGGTTTTCAACCCGGGGCCTGCCCGTTGCAGTTGTCCATTGGGCAGGGCCCGTTGTTTATACACGCTCGCATAATTATAACATCGCTTGTCCAGGCCGTGGTTGGGGTCAGAGGGTCAAGGCTACGATCGCGAGTAGCATAGACCATGGATCACGTAGAACTTCTGAATCTGGGAACGCAGCGCACATTGTTGTGGGTACTATGCATTTGTGTTGTGTCTGTAGATGCTATAACTACTATTATCTGGCGTACACATTACAATACAAGTGTGAAAGGTCCACAGTGACTGCTGAACTACCTGATGATAATCAACGGTCAAGCAACCCTCTAAATGCATATATAGTAACACCTGCCAAGGCAACCACTCTGATAAGGCAACCACCTGCCAAGGCAACCACTCTGATAAGGCAACCACCTGCCAAGGCGACCACTCCGATAAGGCAACCACCTGCCAAGGTGACCACTCTGATAAGGCAACCACCTGCCAAGGCAACCACCTGCCAAGGCAACCACCTGCCAAGGCAACCACTCTGATAAGGCAACCACCTGCCAAGGCAACCACTCTGATAAGGCAACCACCTGCCAAGGCGACCACTCCGATAAGGCAACCACCTGCCAAGGTGACCACTCTGATAAGGCAACCACCTGCCAAGGCAACCACCTGCCAAGGCAACCACCTGCCAAGGCAACCACTCTGATAAGGCAACCACCTGCCAAGGTGACCACTCTGATAAGGCAACCACCTGCCAAGGCAACCACTCTGATAAGGCAACCACCTGCCAAGGCAATCACTCTGATAAGGCAACCACCTGTCTTAGAAGACCCCTGAAACCAGGACCATGGGATGCTATTTCCAGGCAAACTACCCTGGATAAAGAGACCACCTGGCAACAGGGGCCACCTGTTGAAGGTCCCTTCAGCAGTGATCACTGTAGATGTCTGAAGCAAGGCTGTACTTCAACATGGCTTACCAGGGGCGTCGGACACGGTACGGTCACTACGGTATTGACCGTACCACTTATTGCCCCAGGTACACCGTGAATCAATAAAATACACTGATCTGGGATCTCAATTTCCAAAATTTTCGGCTAACCCACCACTCACTCCTCCACGAGTAAATTGTACTTCAGATTGCTGACCATACCACACTAAAATACCTTCTGACGCCCCTGCTTACCTTCCGCCATCGGTGGTAGTCCGCCTGTGGAGTCATTGTAGCCACTGTAGCCGGTTGTGGTGCGAACCCTGCAAAATACACATACACACACCGACACAGAGAAAGAAAAGTATTTGTGCAATCTAGAGAATGGGCGGTGATGTCCTCCCAGTTTCACTTCGAAATCAGGTCTGGAATTGAAGATACTCGGAGGAACAGCGCATGCCGAAATACTGGGAAATATTTTCACTAATCCAGCTCATGCCAGGTCCCTGTGGCATGACATTAGTTGCGTCAGAGACACCCTTGGCACAGCAATCTGGTATGCTCTGACAGTCCAGCCAGGGTTGATTTACAGTTGGAGTTTACGGGAAAAAGTATTTTGGTTGTTGAAACTCATGCTGCCTGGCTATAACACGGTTGTTATGTCTTGCATTATTTATAATGTACCGTAAACTACCGTTGATCCGCCCCCCACGCCATGTCGCTTCCCTACTGGGTTTTCGGCAGGGGGCGGGAATTAGATCAAGGCTGTCAAGTGCAGTACGATGTACACAACAACGCGGAGGATCAGACTCGATGTGCTGAATTGTGCACATTTTCATCCTGGACTGGCACGTATTGTGTGCAGCAGTGCATGCGTCGGTTCAACATCGTATTTCGTTGTATACGCCGAAGTCGCTTCAAAGGTAGAGAATCGACAGGGGGCGGGAATTAGAGAGGGGGCGGATCAACGATACTTTACGGTATATACTTTGAGTAGTAATATCACTACTCTATGATTTGAAGTCTTTCCTCAGTTCTTCCTCTTATACGCATGTTCAAATAATGTTCATGGTCCTTTTCCTTGAGTGAGAAACGCGTGCAAGTGCAAGATGACCTTGTCCGTCCGAATGTGAACGTGGACAGATCAACAGCCAACCCAATTCTGTGTCGCAGGGGTGGAACGACTGTATAACTTTTGACAATATACTGCCGAAACGAGGCATCTTGTTCAGCAGTGCAGTCCGGACCCGAAGCTAGGCTGGCCGTATTCACATGTGTTCCATGTGTGGGGCTACTAACAATACATATCAACTCAGAGTTACGAAATTGCAACTGTTAGTCCTTCTTCAACTCGGAAGGTGAGCCAATTACATTATGGTGAAAAAGGAGAAGGACAAAATGTTACGAGTTATGACTAAGTGAATGTCTCAGTACTCCTTGTCGGCTTTTGTGCCATTTTGTCGCACTCGCTGACTGTATAAGATCTGGTTACGTTAGTCCTTCTGTTTGTGTATTCTTTTCTTTGCCTTTGGTAAAATGAGCCGTCTAAGGACGGTGGATGTACTTCACGCAGTGGTAACATTGCAAAATGGGGCGCAATGGCACCTATCACACACCTTGATCATCATATACTGGCTCTAGTGGCAGGCTATCTTGAACCACAAACACATGCATGCCTACGCTATCCCCCCCCCCCCCACACACACACCAACAAACTACACAAACACACATGCGCACACACACATACACACGCACGCACCCCCCCCCCCCCCCACACACACACGCAGACAGTAACACAGTGTACCTCATATCGCTGTCAACCAGCTCGTTCATCTTGACCAGGTCCTGGGTCATGCGTCTGGTTTTCTTGTCCAGTTTGCTGTGTCTAACCAAGAGCAGTACCAGCACCATGAGAACGATGGAGAAGACTAGTGCACCGATGACAATGCCAGCCACCGCACCACTGCTCAGGTCCTCTGCCGGAAGACTGGAAGGGAAAAAAGAGAAACAGAGACGGACTGGGTGAGTTGGGTATACATCACAGAGCAACGGGGAGTTGTACGACCGGGGGTGTTCCCTGGGGGAGATCGGATTTTTCGGCACTCTTTTACTGCTTTTTGGATGCATTGGGCGGATCATCCCGTACTGGACGAAAAGTGGTACCACCATGGTCGTACTGTTCGTGCCGTGTGTGACACCCCTGGGAAGGGAAGGAAGGCGAAAGAGGGAGGGGAGCCTGATTCTGTTCAACCGACATAGTCCAGCCATCATATTTGCAATGCGATACATGAATGCAACTATTCCGACACGCGCAACTGCGTGAAGTGACACAATACCAGTACTGTATTCATCTTGATAAAGTGAACGGTATTTAGAGGGAGTGGAGAGCTTTAAAGGGGTTGTCCGTATTTATCGAAAAATTAAAAAAATCCGTCCTCGTGCAAAATTGTCTCAGAACGTTTTTTTTTCTCATTAATTTTTTGATTTTTCCCAATGCCCAGCTCGAGAAATAAGAACTCCTCACGCCGTGTTCACTGACTGCACCTGTGTCAAGTAGATCTACTAGTTGCTAAGTACATGACATGTAGTGGGTCTACCGACGAACATGCACGTCCTACAACTGTCTATAGTCATGTACATCATACGGGTGTTTGCGACAAACGATCCCACACTACACTACAGTGTATGCACTACATGTACACACAGTGCTGTCAGTGCAACACGTGTATGAAAGTCACTGAGGTAAAAAAAATTAAAAAAAGTACGAAAAATCAAAAAATTAAATTCCGCCAGCGCTCTTGACCACCACCAGTCCTCTTTCTGCCTGAGGACGGATTTTTAATTTTTTGAAAATTACGGACGACCCCTTACACTCCTCTAAAGTGAGACATGATTACATAATAGGTGCTAGAATCACTTACGTCATTGGTGGAACTGTCGGAGCTGAGCGATGTTAGTTGCAGAAGATGTGCGTTCCAGACACCCACGTGCATTGTGCACACCAGCGGGAGTTGCAAACACCGACGCCAAGAACACACCAAGTGCAAACAAAACAGCATGGTCACACATACACACACACGCACACACACGTACACACACACGTACACACACACGTACACACACACGTACACACACACACACACACACACACACACACACAAAGACACACACACACACCACATACGCACGGCCACATGCGCAGACACGGAAACGCACGCGCGCGCGCACAGAGATCATAAATCATTCCAGGTGTCCTGCAGAGAATTACCGCCTGTACTGCTCAGGGAGTTTGCCTATCTTCACACTAATCCCGCAGCATAGCACAGTCAGCTCAACTTCTAACGAATTCCAATAATTACAGTCAACTTCGCTTATAACGACACTCGGCGGGGCATCAGAAAAGTGTCGTTATTCGCGAAGTGTCGTTATATCCGAAGTCTCATTATATGTGTCACAGTTGGATGGGACTTTGCTCCGGGCATGAAAATTATGTCGTTATTTGCGAATTGTCGTTATATCCGCAGTCGTTATTAGCGAAGTTGACTGTATAGCAAATTCCGTGATAATCATGGAGAACCATTGTCGACTTACCACACTCTTCCCCCCCCCCTCCCCCAACAAAAAAACTCACACCAGCATACACACAAGCATTTGCCCGCACACACACACACATACAGAAGCACAAACACACACACACACACACACACACACACACACACACACACACACACACACACACACCATTGACCATTGGACGCCCATCGCCAGAGGCGATGATAGCGATGCTACAGCAGAAGCCATAGCAACTTGTGCTGGGATTGCACCATTCAACACACACACACACACACACACACACACACACACACACACACACACACACACACACACACACACACACACACACACACACACACACACACACACACACACACACACACACACACACCCCACCCCCTCCCACACACACACACATAAACACGGCAACACCCTAGAAGCTGGCACCAGGCACCAACCTACCTGCGCATTGTTTACGGATTCTCAAGATGGCCGTATAGCTCTTTTTGCTGAGCAATACAACACCTGGCGTGTTCATGGTGGGGGTCTGGGTCGTATTAGCCGCTGCCATGGTTACGTTACCATCTACGCCGTCGCCACCATCATCCGGCACAGTGGTCATATTCGGTGTCCCGTACGTGAACACATCGTAATCCATGACGACCTGAAGGGTTGAGATGCCTTCACGTATACAATCCAGACTGGTGTTGAACTCTGCATATTGGAGAAGCAGAGAATGAAACGAGAAAAGATGAGTTGTATTTTTTTGAGGCTGGTCAGTGGAACGGGATATTTACCAATGGTGCATTGCGCTCGAGCCACGGAGCGGGATGGCAGTCAGCATGTCCTTGTAAAGACTGGAAACCATCTGCTTTTCTCCTCAACTTGCCAGCACTACGACAATACAACCACTAATGTCAAATTTGCCTATGCGCATGACTATTTTGTACAGTAAGAAATATGTTGCTTTCTTAGGTGCTATCTGCGTCACTTGTCTGCCAACGTGCCGGATATAAGGACTTGCTTGCTGCGGCTTCCATCACCGCTGTAAGGGGTCATTGCAAAAGTGGTCTGTTGTCCCTGAAACGAACATCGTTCGTTGTACTCCCCCCCCCCCCTCTGAAATGAACGCAGTTTGCTATGCTGGACGACGGAAATCGCATGTACAGTAAAACCTGGTTTAAAAGCGACCTCCCCATGCCACGGTGCAAGCAAAAGCGGTCGTTAAAGCCAGGTGCACTTTAGAACCAGGTCCCACGGTGTCTGTGTAGAACTGTCTGTGCATGGAAAAACGGTCGTTAAGAGCAGGTGGTCGCTAAACCCAGGTTATACTGTACCATGTACACTGTACAGTGTTAGTCAATTTACGATAAGGGCTCGCCGCCCCTCCCCCCCCCCCCTCCCAATGAATGATGTTTGTTTCATGGACGACAAAACACTTTTGCGACAAACCCTAACTTAGAAACATGTGCTGTAAGCTGTGAGCCCTATCGCGGAGGAAAGGGTCATGTTTGACTTCGCGTTTTAACTTTTAAGGCCACAGGAAATTTTAGATGGGTTGTGCAAATAAAAGGTGCCGCACTGCAGCGTTTGAAATAGAGAAGTTCTGAAATCCTTGCTGGATGAAAACATTCTTTATTGTGATGTCGTAAGATTATGACCATTCGGGCCAGTCACCTATCGTCAGAACAAATTGCAAAGGGCGAACCTGGCCTTTTTTTAATTTTTTTTACTAGAGCCACATAAACCCGTCATGTGTGAGCCATGAATAAGGGGAGTGGTGGCGTGGTCTGGGATGCTCTGCCGACCTTGGGTCTCGGCTTTAAAATAGCGGAAACAAGCGAGAGCATGTGTAATCCAGGAGAAACAGCAACTGTCACAATAAGGAATTGTTCATCCAGCACATGCGGCGATTGTGAATAGCAACTGAATAGAGCGGTCGTCAGTTGACAAACCCCCCATTTCTTTATGATACAGTTGCGTGATGTCCACCAATTTCTTAGTGCATACCAGTTAAGTTGCTGAAGACCGGCTCGATGAAGCCCTGCAGCGGAACACCAGTCACTGTCGGTGTTAGCATTATACTCGTGTCCGATGATGTCACCGTCATTGTGTAGTTCACTTCCTCCTGTAAAAAAATAATGTAATCACACATGTCCAGGCACCGGCACAGGCAAAAACAGATGCAAGCAGAACAGGCAAATTGCCTAAAGACAATGGCACGGCTGTAGAGAAGCGATTGAAGAGGAGATGACAAAACAGAAGTACAAGAGACTAACGTGAAAGAACTACGAAAGGCCATCGCGGCGGAAGGAAATGCATTGCGTATACATGTATGATATAGTCCCTTTCATGTATTATGGTGTTCTGGTTGCCATAGATACCTGTATGACAAGATGGCTGACTGATTATAGAGGGGCCACTGTACACTGTACTTACCAGTTTCGATTGCCTGAACCACTGCATGCTGACGTACGTGTAGCGTTCATCAAACTTGAGCAGGCCACTTGTAAGCTGGGTCAATAGAATAGGTGTGGCTTCGTTGTTGGCAATGAAAGTCAGTTGGCTTAGAGGTACTGCACGTAGGGTAGACAAGGCAATACAGACACAAACGCAATCAGGAATTGAACTCGGATGTTGAACCAGAGTAATCATGCATATTAAAAAAAGGAGAGGGCAAAATGCTGCTACGCACTCGCTGACTGCATATGATCCGGTTACGTTGGAGGACAGTTAGAGCATGTTCGATTGGCAGGGATCGGGATCGAGATCGAGATCTCAGATCCTTCAGATTCAACTGAACACTTTATTATGGGCCTAGACTGTTGCCATGTTGACAATGGCGCTCACAAGTCACCCAAAAGGGTGAACGTCGTACTCATCGTGTGCGTTGTACAAAAGGTCAACAAGCTCTATGTCCATCCACGTGTGCGTACCACAATGTGTACACAAATGATTTTTACCCACCATATACGCACAAATGTCACATTTGGATCCGTTGGACCCGGTCAACCCTGCTCCCCGAGGTGGGTTGACCGGATCCAAATCCGAAGGATCCGGATCAGGATTCGACCAATCGAGAGGGTGCGAATCCAGTGGATCCGGTGGATCAGGATCCCGATCCTACCAATCGAACATGCCCCAAGTCATAACTCGTAACATTTTGTCCTTTCTCTTTTTTTGAGTGTTGTTTGGCATACTGGCATTACTAGCAGCATACCCATGTATACACGATGACTCAGCGGTGCATAGGCTGTCGTGCAGTGCTGATCAACAATGCCATCTCCGGTAGCGTCGCTCAAGTTTGCGCCTTGCACCGTTTCGCAGCCCAGTGTTCGCAGGTCCAGGGCTGCGCAACGGCCGGCGCGTACTTGAGTGACGCGGTATCTGGATTGCATTGACCAGCACTGTACAGCCAACTTTGCGTATAACGACACTCGGCGGGGCATCAGAAAAGTGTCCTTATACGCGAAGTCTCATTATAATTATGTATACAGGTTAGATTTGACTATGCTCTGGGCATGGAAATTCTGTCGTTATTCGCGAATTGTCGTTACACCCGCAGTCGTTATTAGCCCGAAAGGTCCCCTTTGGACCTTTCGCACCCCGCGTACGGATACGAAACGAATGCTGATTCGTCACCTGGGTTCGAGGATTCGTCAGAGTCCCTGCGGAGAACTCGTTTTCACGAATGGAAGCCTCTTCATTCGTGGCACGCTCCGAATCCATCAGGTACACATTTATTTGGATAGGCACACAATGTTTTGCAAGGTACACATTTTTCCCTTGATTCCATGATCCATGCACGTGTGCGTGTAAACACCCGTACGCCAAGCTACCGGCGACCGCGGCCGTATTCGTAGTTGCCATGCACATTTGCATGACGACTTGCGAAACCTGAAAATCTGTTTTCAACGAAACGATTACGAGCCGAATCAAACTTTCGTTTCGCATTCGTTTCGTAGCAAATGCGAAAGGTCCCCATTAGCCCAGATCTTCGGCACCCGATAGTACTGTACCAAGGAACGGCCAATGAAGTTAGCCAAAGAGAGGGTGCCCTTAAGATTGGTTGTCTTACTTCCTTGCAATTCTCCTAAAAACTCCGCTTGGAATGCCGGTGTTACTCGTAAGACGAACGATTCGGCTGAGTAGAGGCCAAGCCCCAAGATGGCAGTGGTGACCATGAGCAACAAGCCTTGCCCGCGGACCATTGTCAACCGTTCTGCAAGTGGAGATGGAAAAGAGAGAAAGTGTGTGTGTGTGTGTGTGAGTGTGAGTGTGAGTGTGTGTGTGTGTGTGTGTGTGTGTGTGTGTGTGTGTGTGTGTGTGTGTGTGAGAGAGAGAGAGAGAGAGAGAGAGAGAGAGAGAGAAGAGAGAGAGAGAGAGAGAGAGGAGAGAGAGAGAGAGAGAGAGAGAGAGAGAGAGAGAAAAGATAAAGAGAGAGAGAGAAAAAAGAGAGAGAGACAGAGACAGAGACAGAGACATCAGAGATGAGAGAGAGAGAGAGAGAGAGAGAGAGAGAGAGAGAGAGAGAGAGAAGAGAGAAGAGAGAGAGAGAGAGAGAGAGAAGAGAAGGAGAGAAGGGAGGGAGGGAAGGGAGGAGAGAGGAGGGAGGGGAGGAGAGAAGGAGAGAGAGATGAGAGAGAAGAAGAGAGAGAGAGAAGAGAGTAGAGAGAGAGAGAGAGAGAGGAGGGAAGAGAG